ATTAGGTTGATCTCTCTCTCTCTCTCTCTCTCTCTCTCTCGCTCGCTCTGTCTTTCTCTTATATATCTTAAGAAAGAGGCACAATGATACAAGGTTGAACAAAGAAAAAGAGACAGCTCCATGGTCTACAGGTTCTATCAATAAACAATGGTGAGAGGGAACAGAAATGGATGACATGAGTGACTACCTACTCCAAGAACTGAAATCATAACTGTGCATGAGAGTGCGACAGAGGTTGGGTGTGGACATCCCAAGAGGGAAGGGGTGAATGCATGACGTGGGGACGAGAGGACACCGAAGGAAGACCCTAAAAAAAATTACGGGAACAGGAAGTCCCCAGATTGCGCTTGTCTTGGCCTTTTGTTTGCGAGGGCATCTGTAGTTGTCTAAGATTCTGTGTGACTCCTGCTTGGGGGCTACTCTATGGCTCTACTGTAGTATATTATATAAGAGGAAAGCTTTGTTGTGTACACTGCTGGATCATAGGCATATAATGGTTGTTGATTGCCATAATATAATAATAGTTTGGTTGATAATGGCAAAGGGTGTGAGTGTTAGTGTGTGCCACTTTGCCTTAGCACTACTAGCTTGTGACTCTCGAGTGGTGGTGCCACCATGTTGGGAGTCTGCTTCCCCCCTGTATTGTATTATAAGAGATGAAACGTTCATAGGTAACTCGATGCCCGTAGAAAGTGATTATAAGCTTCCTGTTGGTTTTCTTGGCAAGTGGTAGTGGCTGCAGAGCCTCAATATGTTTGCTGGCATGCATTTGAGATATGTGCTCTGGTGATGCACTCTACTACTAGAATTTCTTGGAATCTAAAGCTTTTCACACTTTCAATTGATAGACTAGCTAATTAGGTTGCTTCTAATAACAAATTTTAAAAACTAATCCAATTTAGGGTGCCATTTTTTACTGTGGATAAGGTATACTAGCTTTTTTAAAAGACAATGAAATGATGCTATCTTCATCAAGTTGTAGAAAGCTCAAAGCTTTGGGAGGGTATCCTTTTGAAAGTTTCTGGTTTGAGGAGATGTATTTTTCCAGTTCTTTTGCTTTACCTTCCTGTTTGATTTTTCTCTTGAATACCTCTGATACTCTGTTCTTCTTCTTCTTCTTCTTCTTCTTCTTCTTCTTCTTCTTCTTCTTCTTCTTCTTCTTCTTCTTCTTCTTCTTCTTTTCAATTGTTTATTGCTGTACCAATGCTTGACATGTAGTTTAAATTAAAATGCATTAATGACAGAATACTAGTGGATAAAATAAGACCGCAAAAGGATTTGGTTTAGACATTGTTTGAAAAAAGGAAGTGGTTTGTGCATCCACCCTTCCAGAAAAATGGATAGTGAGCATCGAAAGGCTTGAGAATGGCCACCAAAGTTTTAACATGTTAATCTTACTTGCTTTTAGATCAAGAACAGGAGTTTCCAAGTGAATTAGCCATGGAAGACAAGAACTCAACGTCCATTACTTTGACAGTAGGTTTGGCAAACCTATTGTTTGTAAAGAGAAGACAAGAATATCATCAACTTTGTTTCACCTTTATGCACATTCTGATGTGGTGAAGTCATCATGATTGACATTATGTTCACTTTGTTTCACCTAGTGTTTGCCTATGTCAAATCTATTTCATTATGTTCGTTTTGGACTCATTCAAGGAAGGGTCCACACCAGATCTCGCTTTTCCTTTGTAAGTTTTCACATATCAAAATTACATTTTCATGAAGGAAATCTAGCATAATCTTACTGAATACAAAGAGTCTAAAATATTCTCCATCGTTATCTCCATAAAAATAAAAAGAAAGTGAACTTCCAATCTCCTCCAGTCCAAACTCTTCTCTCAACGTTCAAGCACACACAACTGGCCTTCCAATTCCATGGTGATCTTATCCAATTACGATTAGATATGGATTGCATAGAAGATAACTATGTAAATATCAATTGCAAGTCTAGAATCATCAAACATAAAAAAAGGCTCACTTGAAATCTTTTGAGCTCCCAAGAAGAATCATGTTGACTGACTTTTATGGTTTATGAAATTTGTATGAGGAAACTATGGTTTCTATACATACGGTGTGAGAAACACTTGCTCCATGGAATATATATTTTGCTGTTACTGCACATCATCACCAATCATTCACTGATATCTGAATTCCTTGCACCTGAGCAGGCAATCTGGAGTCGGTTGTCTCTCCTAACATGGAGTTTGTTCTTTTCTTATCTTTCACAAGGAATCAGCCTGTTCAGCTTCAATATCCATGGGGTCATCAACTTCTCCTGTCACAGGTGGTGCCACCATCTGATAAAAGCACTTCACCTAGGCCTTGATCATGCCCTCTAAGAATCTTGTTAACCGAGAAGACCGCATTACAAGATTTTGCGAATCTTGAGTAAGGTCCACCAAGTTGTGCTCCCAAAGGAAAATGTATTGGTTGATTAGTCCTTATTCCAATATCTAATACATGATGACCTCACCATGCCTCTTAAAATATACATCACTGTCAGCCATCTTACTTTCTTTGAATTCTGTAAGAAGCCCCATCAAGACTGAAACCAAGAGGGTTGTATTAATAACTGCATAGATATCTTCTTTTAGACCAACTTGAGATCATGTTTACTATCCAAGCAATGAGGGAAGAGCCTTTTTAGTGTTATTTTGTATTCCAAGTGACATTACCTACTCCATTAGAAAAAAGAAGGAATTGTGCTAGGGTGGATTTCACCTAAAGTCATGTGAAGTGATTGTATAAGCATACTTGATTAATCAATGACCTAGAAACAAAACCTAACATGGTCTAGAATGTAAAAGTGTATCATAAGTATGAATTAATCCCATCATCTCAATTTAATATAGTTGCTATGTGGCCCGCGAAGTAAATTAACTCTTGTTGAGAAGACAAGAACATGCAGCTTAGAGCTTTATTTGCTTGCTTAGATATCCACCAAAGCAAACAACATGACGTAGGTTCGGATTACAAACGTCTAGAGATCACACTTAGATGCCTATTGAGAGGGTGACTAGGGTGGACTGGCAAAAGCTTTTGCAAACCAATCTTTGATCTTTGGAACCATTGGTGATCAGAAAAAGTATCGGTACTGCATTTGCTGTTGTCGATGATATTATATAATCAACCTCTTACCAAGGAAGGACATAACAGAGCTTTTGATTAAGAGAAGTCCTACCTTCTGATATATGTATGCTGCAACTTGCTTTGGTTGTTATTAGTAGTAACAACAGGCTTCAAATCATATTTCAACTTTTTGAGAGCTTCAATCGGTTGGCACCCTACTAATCACCCTTTTGTGCACTAATGTCAAACATACAGCTATCTAATCTATTTTAACCATTTCATTATCAACCTACACTTTTAAACAGTCCTCAACCAGATAGATTTTTCTGCGCTATGTTGCTCATTAAACAGAGACTTTATCTGGCTATTGCATTAAACGAAGTTTTTCTTTTCTTTTTACTGTTCTGCAATTTCCTTGTTGAACACTAGACAGGTTTCTTGGATCTTTGGAGAACATAATTTTTAGTTGATTATTATGGATTCTTTAAGTGATCCAATCAAAATCACCTAATGTGCACCTTAGTATGAAAAGTTGGGTCATTTCAAACAAAAGGTCATCAACTACCAATCTCCACCTAGAGATATTCCACCTTAAAGCAGAATCCACCCATCAAGGTGCAACATTTTCTATGGTTTTTCTGTTTGCTTAGATAACAATGTTAATTGCAAGCATATTTTTATTTTGACTTGACAAATACCTACCAATGAGGACATTAGTTTCCCTTTCATCCACATCTCCATCACCATCTTCTTCTTCATCCTTAATATTTTCCAATCAAAGTTCCGAAAGTCTTCTTTCAATACTTACGAAACTAATACAAGTGAAACTTAGTTACAATGCTCTGGCACAACCATGGTTACTGAAAGATGAAGAATTACCAGACAACAGTGTGAACTGCTGATCAAAATTAGAATCAGGAAGTGCAACACCTACTATCTCGTTGATGGTGTTGCTATGTAAATTTGACTTAGGAGATCATCAATCCAAATAAATAATTCCTATATGTTTCTAGGGATTGAGCTGGCACATGAAGCTGGATGTGTCATGGATTCATTAGCTGACAATTAAGCCCGAAGGCATTTGATCAAGGATTAAGACATTTAAATACTAAAACAAAACCAGATGCCAAACCTGATAAGTAACCTAATAGTAAGCCTAGGCCAGTACTGAGTTGTTGCATTGGCTCTTTTCGGGCATCCCTTTCCAATGAAAATAGTCTAAGGTCTGCACCTACTGCTAATTGAGGCCTGTTTTAAGCCCATTACCACAGCTTTGCCAAACCCTACCTGGACTCTGCACCTGATATAGTTGTGCCAGTTCTGAACAGGACAAACATCAAACATCCAAATAATAGTAGCTATGTTAATTGTTTTGAGTAGCTAGAGTTCAAAATATAGTTGATGGTTATGCACCAATTTATTCCTGATGTGTCCTTAATATATATTACAATTTCATTTTAACAGCTTAATGCTAAATAACTGATTCCTGATGTGACATTAATATATATATTTCAATTTGATTGTTACAGGTTAATAATGCTAATAAGTTCTATTTTCCGGAATGCTGGATCATATATATCATGCGATAAAACAATGTAATATGTCTTAAGAATTAAGAGAGAAGCAGAAGAAAGTACTGACTACTTAATGGATGATTTGCCTAATGCCTTGTGTCCACATGAAGGGAGATTGTTCTCGTCAAAGCTCCATGAGACAGAGAAAACACCCCCTCTCTTAATAGCTTAACTGACTTGGTTGGGATGATTCAATATTCTCAGCAAATTCCATGATGCCTATACATCTTAAGCTTTATTAGCATGTGAAAAGAAATTTAGAGTTTCTTAGTTCTGTTACGTGCTATACGATGATCAAGCAGTTGATAATAGTTCTGCAAATTGAAGAAGAAGACAACTGGAGATTAGCTAAGAATGTAGAGAAATGGATAACGGAGTTCACATAGTTGCTGTACATGGTTTCATGGCAACAAGAGCAAGTAAAAATGTTCACATAAAAGGAATGCAGAATTACAAGGAATGATCAAACAATCTGAACTCAACCAATCTGCTCACAATCTACCACGCGGCACTACTCAAAACCATACTTCTTATCTACCGCATTATATGCAATGATAGGAAGGACGGTAAGTATATTGGCACACAAAGAACGAGGACAAGTAAGCTACCAACCCCTCCATGTGGTGGTGCGACCCCGAAAACTCTTGACATTACCACCTTTGCCTTGCTTATCTTCCTCATGAATTGCTGTCGATGCCACAATGGACAGCTCCGTCAGCTCCTTGAGGCATGAGTAGCTCCTCCTCGCGGCGACCAATCCGCTACCCATCCTATTCATCGCAGCTTTGGGTGCCACCGGCGGCGGGGGCGACGGTGTCATGGATGTCTCCATGGGCTTCTTGTTCTCCTTCCTGCGTGCAATGGAGAAGTCGGTCACGGAGCGCGTCAGCGACGAGTTAGCCGTCGGCATCTTGGTAGGTGTAGTGAACGTAGGAGCCGGTGATTCTGCTCCCGTTCTTCTTAGCTTCCGGTCTCTCAGCGCCGCGTAGGTCGAGTACATGGGTCCTCGGCGCAAGGTGTGGGCACTGTAGGAACCATTACTGATGTCATGGAGGAGGTGGTTTGGATATGGATGTCTGAGCTCCGTCATTGTGGTGGGTGGCGGATGGATTGAGCTCTTCGGACATCTTGCTCTTGGTGTGGGAGTGGAAGTAGGAACGGTGGCCGACCATCCAACGGTCGAATTGGACCAAAAAGTCTGGAACGAAATCTGAAAGGGAGGCAAAGTGGAGATGAGATCAGCGGCCTTCCAACGGCCAAGTCTTCACGTACTCTTAAGGAGGAAGTAAATGGGAAGGGAGCGTTACTTGACTAATCTTTTAATTAGAATTCCCTGTTGACTTTTTTTATTTCTTTATGATTATAACTATAAATTGCTATTTTTTTATCGATTCATAGTAAATTTGCATGTGTGTGTGTGTGTATATATATATAAAACTAGTTTAGTAAGAAAAAGTAAATAAAAATATTAAATGTCTAAAATACCCTTTTTCTCAAAAAGCTTCTTTGACTTTTTTTTTTAATTTTTTTTAACACAACATCCCTATTTTTAATTGTTATAGAGAATCCCTATTTTCAGTTGGACAAAAACTACAACAGACTACATTTAATTCCACATATATCATTCATGATTAGAATAAAATATTTATATTATCAACATTAATATAATAAGAAAGTGGATGAATTGGCCTTTCCTATACATAGTAATTAATCCCTTCTGAGTTTGACCCTTGAAATTTGCTCAAATCTGTACTGCAAGGATTCAAATTTTAACTATTTCTCGGTCAGAATCAAAGCTGCATTGCATTCATTTGGCACATTTTGGGACATCAACTGCAACTGTTCCTTTGTTCTCTTCTCATATTTGACAGTCATACATATGTTATAAACACATAAATAACAAGCATCACACATGCATATCATATCTAAAATTTATATATAATAAAATATGCTCATCTGTATTTGTACTGGCATGGATCTCTCAGCCTATCGCATGCATGAATTATTAGTGTTCATACCTACGAATGATTTTATTTTAGTTTAACATGCTTTGTATTATGTATGTGACATTTCAAAATTACATACATTAAACATATCACGGTAAATTGATCGTCTTATGACCTCTTTAATAATTTATAATCATATAACATTGCATATGTATAATAAAAATGTAAAACTCTAATCCAATGTAAATCATAGCATATATGTGCAAGAATATATCATAGTACATGTAATAGAAAATATACATTTATAAACTTTTACACTGTATACTATAAAATAAACATACACTCTTATACTCACTGCATTATAACATATATGTTCATCATATATTATAAAATATATATGGATTCCAACATCCCAAGTCAAAATATATTCATGCACTCTTATATTATACATTATGATAAATATATGCACTGTCACACGGTATAGTATAATATATTTATATACGTAATATATTTTTATTTATATTATTATTTATGTTTATACAATCCATGCATTAACATCGGACTTATACCTAGATAACAATGATCATACTATTCAAAACATACTTTTAAAAATATATTATGAATATACATAAAAATATATAATCACTATTTTATAGTAAATCAAGTGCAGAAGAGCTAAGTGATGCCAAATTTGGAGCACACACGATCATGCATGCTATGCCTAAATTAAGAAACCTATATCTTAAAACACTAATACTTCCTAATATAAACTATAATTTGTAAAAAAAAATTGATAGAATCTCCTCCAAAATATACTATACTCAATCTTTAATTTAAATTTCAAAACTAATTTACTTATAACTGAATTAAATGTTAATACTAAATTACCTACAACTTAATTTATAATCCATGGCATAGTTGTGGTTATTAATTACTATAGTTATGTGATGTGGGAATGTAGTTATCATATGTGGCATGAGAGTGTATAGATATGTGATGACAAACGATGTATATATATGTATATATATGTTATGATGTGTGGTGTGAGAGTACACATATATGTTATGACATACAGTGTGAGAGTATATAAATATATTATGATGTGATATGTAAATTTATAAATATGTTATAATTATGTATTACATATATAATGACTTTCTTATGTGTTTCAATTATCTATTAAATAGGTGAATCAAAACTTCACATATTTATTATGTAATTATTATGTTATGAGGTTATACGTTTCTAATGAAGTCATAACAAGATGAGTAAATCAAAACTTCACATATTTCTAATGAGGTTATACGTATCGACCCATATCATTATGCAACTTTATTTACAAGAACATCTCCAAAGTATTAGCAAATAGAATGCAAAAGGTAATACACAAGATCATTAGCCCAAATCAAGCTGCTTTCATCAAAGGGAGAAGTATACATCACAACATTTTGCTTGCTAATGACTTGGTCAAAGATTTACATTCAAAAGCAAGAGGGACAAAAATATGTTTTAAAGCTGATTTACGGAAAGCTTTTGATTCAGTTAATAGGAAATTTATCTATAAGGTGCTCCTCGATATGAACTTCCCACAGCAATGGGTTAATTGGATTCAATCTTGCCTGGAAACTCTAAAGTTTTCGATACTCTTTAATGGCTCACATATTGGTTTTTTTGGGAGCATGAATGGCATCTGACAAGGTGATCCACTCTCTCCGTATCTCTTTACTATTGCGATGGAAGGACTTAGCTGTATGTTGGAACATGCAGTCTTAAATGGCAACATTAAGGTACCCAATGCTGGCTCTATTCATATATCACATATAACATTTGTAGATGATTTACTTATCTTTCTCCAAAATGATCCAACTTCAGTAAATAACCTGGCTACTATTATGAATGACTTTGGTATAGTTTCTGGACTTCAGTTAAATCATGCGAAAAGTAAAGTATATATGAGCCCTTACGTTGAGGATAAGGTCTTTATTGCACAAACTTTGGGGGTTAGTGAGGGAAGCCTGCCAGTTCCTTATTTGGGTCTCCCGCTCATATCCACAGGCATTCACAAAACCCACTGTCAGCCTATCCTGCAAAAAATAAAGAATATAATTTCTTCTTGGAAAAATAGGCTTATATCAAAAGCAGGATGAC